TCTTCGGCCATGTGACAGATCATATGATTTCTCTAACAACCTTTACAAATCTCTTTGGTGACCAAAGTCATATAGCCAGGCAGAGGCAGAGCTGACATTGAACTTGGGCATCTCATCCAGAGTTCATTCTCAGACTGGAGAGCGGAGGGGACAGGACCAGGCCAGGACAGGACAGGCGCTCAAACAGTATTGGATCACCCAGCTGTGAGCAGATGGAGATCTGCATTAAGGAGTAGACAGTGACGGAGGATAGGTGGAGCCTAGCAATATCAGTAATACCGGAGAGATAAAATAGTCGAATTTCTTTAATTTCGTTTTTCTGAGACAGGGTTTCTAGTAACTCTACATGTAGCTGCACCTGACCTTGAACTACTGACCTCCTACTGCTACCTGCTACCACTCAAGTGGGAGGATTGCACTCCATTGCACAGCTCAAGTGATAGGACATGTAGTTTAATGGATGTGTGAGGAGGAGGATGGATGAGCGAGTCCCCTGGGCCTCCCCTCGGAGACACTAGCACTAGCCGGACACTGTGGACACCGGAAGCTGTGGGTATGCACCAGGCCACCCAGAAGCCTCCTCTGGGGCTCCATGGAGCAGAGGGGCCAGCTGCCTGGGCAGCTTTCATAAATGAACCATGTATGACCCTTACAGAGAGAATGAGTCAAGAATGTGCCTCACTTCTGACTTGGGCCACTGATGAGAAGTTGGTGGATACCTTTCTGGAGTTAGTGAGTTCAGGCGAAAAAAACAATCGGGGTCAGGGCTGAGGAGATGGCTCAGAGGTTAAGAGCATTGCCTGCTCTTCCAGAGGTCCTGAATTCAATTCCCAGCAGACATGGTGGCTCACAACCATCTGTAGTGGGGCCTGGTGCCCTCTTCTGGCCTGCAGGCAGGCACACAAACAGAATATTGTATACATAATAAATAAATAAATAAATATTAAAAAAAAACAATTGGGGTCAAAGGCTAAGTTCAGAGCTTAAGGCTTTGAGTTTGAATGGTATGAGGCTCATAACTGTGCATTCTAATTGTGTAGGTATTTGCTTTCAGAGCGTTAGGATAGATTACCTATCACCAGTCTATAGACAGATGGTGGTTGGAGCCACAGACATCTTCAACTGATCAGCAGGAAAATGAAAGCAAGAAGCTTGGAACAAAGCCCTAAGTGGTACTAACATCCAAGGGGCAGGGAGATGCAAAAGTTTCCAAGCGATTCTGAGATGGAAAGGCCAGGAGAACACAGGCTTCTCGAGGCTGAGGGAAGAACGAGAAGGAAGTGGACCGTGGTCAGCAGAGTCGGCCATGGTATCTGCAGCATGTCTGCTGGACTTGGAAGAGAGTGAGTTGGCAGGGGTGGCACTGGAGAAGTGGGGGGGGGGGAGCCAGACTGGAGTGGGTGGAGGAGTGAATGGAGGTGCGGAAATGGAAGTGGTGACTCACTCTTTCAAAAGACGGGGCTCCACGGGAGGAGCCAGGCCCTGCGTGGTGCTAGGAGGAGTCAGACCCTGCACAGTGCTGGGAGAATGCGGGGTGGGGGGAGGGTTTATTTTTAAGATGAGAAATTGTATTTAAATGCAGATGGAAAAAATGGGGGAAGGGGGAAAGTGGTGGCATAAATGAAAAACCACCACCGTCACCATCAAGTCACCTGCACTGGCACCAGCTGGCAACCACAGGGAAAGCCTGCCTGGCCCCCTTCTTTGTGTAATCATGTCACAGTTCCACTCGGTGCCCTTCTCCTTCAGAGGGCTTCTCACTACTGCGCCTATCCTCATCTCTGTGCCGATGCCCGAGGTGCCGCCTAGACCCCTCACTGTCTCAGCCACGCCATGCGACCATGCCCTTTGTCCGTCAAGACTTTTGTGAAAGGCAGGGTGTACACGTTTGCTTTGCATGAAACAATGCAGACTTCTGTAGTTTGACCCAAAGAACTGAGCCATAAATGTGCCTGCCCTTTGACCTGGTGTTTCTCCTCAGGCAGAGCAAGTGCCTTTGCTGGGAGAAGAGGCTCCTATGAATGCTCCTGGCAACATGAGTGAGGATGTACAGGCAGCAAAGGCAGGAGCGAGGCCCCCTTAAGGCAGGTCTCCTCGGAGCTTGTCTTTCACCTCAGAGTTACCTTTGCTCGGAACTTAGGCATTCCTCATAAAAGATAGGTAGACTTTGCTGAGAAGCACTTCCTTCCTGGGGAGCTCAGGGAACCTTCTTACCATGGTGTCAGTGGTCCAGTTATGCAGTTACAAATCTGTGAAAGTCCTTCAAATCCACAGTGTATGGATTGGGACTCTGAAGAACACTTTTCTGGTGATCACCTGCATCTACATTTGGTGAGTTAGGTGAGAGCGAGTCTCAGGGCTCCATGGCCTCAAAGCTCCCTCTCCACTTTGGTTCTATTCGGGCTCCTCCATTTCCTCCTCTTTAGCCAGACTGGTCTGCCAGGGTCTCTGGATGGCCCTGGCTTCTCCTGTTGGCAGGTCTCTTGTGCCTGCCATGTTCTCCAGCTCTTCCTTCCCCACTTCTCAATCTTACCTACTCTACCAGGCTCAGCTAGATACCTGGCTCCTTAATACTGTGCTTGCTCCAGAGGCTGCTGGCTTTGAATGCACCTGGATGCATTGCCCATCAGTTTCTTAGAGCTAATAGTCATCGGAGTTAGAGATTAGAGAATTGTGACTGAACCCATGACCCAGAGGGGAAGCCTGGCTTCTCTTGAGTCATCGCACAAGGTCAAGAGTTTGTGACTGGAGTGACCATTACACTGCTCTTCCTAAAGCGGAAGATACTGCAGTCTCTGCCTCTTTTCTCTTTTGATGCATCTCTAGGAAGTGTCAATAGAATTGTCATGTTCACAGGGCGGCAGTGAACATCCCAGCCCTTGGGAGGCAGAGGCAGGCGGATCTCTGTGAGCTTGTGGCCAACCTGGTCTACAGAGTGAGTTCTGGGACAGCCAAAGCTATGCAGAGAAACCCTGTCTCGAAAACCAAAACAAATGAAACCAAAAAGAATTTTCACGTTCATTATGATACAAAGGTCCATCATGTTTGCAAAGCCTTCATAACTGACAGGGCTGGATTCTAGTAAGCTGATCCTGAGTTGCATATTCTAGAAGGGATATGGTGCATCAGGCTGAGCTCCCCACTGAACAACTAAGCACGTGTTCTTCTGGGAGGCTGTTGCAAGTGTTTTGCTTGTGTTTTGAGGCTGGAGTGAGGCTGAACACTCGTAATTGTTTTTGCCTGCAGCGTTCTACCCGACACTGCACCACACGTGCTGAGTGGGCCCTGAATCTCAGTTTCCAGCACCAGCACCTTTTTTAGTTAACTGTTTGCACTTTGGGTGGGTGTGCGTGCTCATGTGCCATGCTGAGCAGGCGAAGGTCAGAGAACAACTTTTGGAAGTTAGTTCTCTCATCTCATCATCCTGTGGGTTCTGGGCATCAAACCCAGGCCGTCAGTTATAGCACAAATAATAAAAGCCCAGAGACAGATATTGGGATTTAGCCTAAAGGTCAGAAAAGCAAAGCAGGCAGCCACTGACTCTTACCTCTACTTCAGACCGAAATGGTGATCCTGCCTCCAGGAATCTCAGAATGAGACTGTGTGTGAGAGCTGTCTCCTCCAGTCTTATGTTCCTTTCTAGTGTTGGAATTAAAGGCGTGCACCACTACCGCCTGGCCTCTATGGCTACCTAGTGTGGCTACTGGGATTAAAGGTGTGTGCCACCACTGCCTGGCCTGTATGGCTGACAAATGTGACTGTTTTACTCTCTGATCTCCAGGCAAGCTTTATTTGTCTTGTTGCAAGTGTCTTAACTCACCGAGCCATCTCGCTGGACCAATTTCTTTCTTCTTCAATCACAGTTGGAGAAACGCTACATGTACGGTGCATAAAGTAAGACCTATGTGCTACCGTGCAAGTGACGAAGCAAAGCATACTAATCCAGCTCCACTCCCTGCAAACTCATCCTTCATCCCACTCTCTCCCCCCAGCAGACATCATTGCGAGTAGCCCTGGCTGTCCCAGAACTCACTCTGTAGACCAGCCTGGCCTCAAACTCACAGAGATCCACCTGCCTCTGCCTCCTGAGTGCTGGGATTAGAGGGGTGTGTGATTTTTTATCTTACCTATCAAGGTAAAGTTCGTATAGCATAAAACTGACCTCTTAAAGAGAAAGGAATAAAGGGCTTATTCGTAAGTGAACAAACAGGTGCTATCTAACATGTGCTCAGTATTACATAGGAAATACCTGTATCCGCCAACATATTTTTATCACCTTTAAAGGAAATAATGTACTCACTAACTGCCGTTCCCCATGTCTTCTCCCCGGCAACTGTCCATCTGTCCTGTAGATTTCTTCTCCCCGGCAACTGTCCATCTGTCCTGTAGATTTCTTCTCCCCGGCAACTGCCCATCTGTCTTGTAGATTTCTTCCCCGGCAACTGTCCATCTGTCCTGTAGATTTCTTCTCCCCAGCAACTGTCCATCTGTCCTGTAGATTTCTTCTTCCCGGCAACTGTCCATATGTCCTGTAGAGTTGTAAATGAGAAGACCTGCTGGGTGTGGCGGTGCACACCTTGAATCCTGGCACTTGAGAGGCAGAGGCAGGAGGATCTCTGTGAGTTCAAAGGCCATCCTGGTCTATACCAGGACAACCAAGACTACATAGAGAGACCCTGTCTCAAAAAAACAAAACAAAACAAAAATCCAATGACCTGAAATAAGAGCAAGCAGAGCTGAGGTGTTACTGAACCCTGGGACAGAGCCATTCAGCCACCCAAGAACGGGACTGAGTCGAAATTCTGCCTACAGTGGGTAATACTAAGGGGGTGGAGAGAGGTGGTCCCAGTTTGCAGAGAGGGAGAGGCAGGAGGAAGCAGGTCGCTGGGCAAGCAGGCTGAGAACGAAAGCTGCTCCCACCACCCCTACCCCAGAGGCTGCAGCCCAAACCACTGCCTGGGGCTGTGAGAAAACTACTGATGTTCCTCATCTATCCTCAGCTTTGCTTTGGTGAGTGACAAGCTGTACCAGCGGAAGGAGCCTGTTATCAGCTCCGTGCACACCAAGGTCAAAGGGATCGCAGAGGTGATGGAGAACGTCACAGAGGGTGGGGAGATGAAGTCACTGCGCAACATCTTTGACACTGCAGACTACACCTTCCCTTTGCAGGTGAGCACCAGACAGCTGACTCCAGGACTCATCCCTGGCCACTGCCTCTCCTCATACTTAGGGGTCTAGAGCCTCATAAAAAAAAAAAGTTGGTTAGGGTCTAGGGATCTAGCTCAAACGGTAGAATGCTTGACTAACATGCATGAAACCCTGGGTTCAATCTCTAGTGCCGCATAAAACCAGTGGCAGTACAAGCCCGTAGCCCAGGAGGTCAAGGATGGAGAATTGGGAGTTCAAGGTCACCCTCAGCTGCTTAGTGAGTTTGAGGCCAGCCTGGAATACATAATACCCTGTCTCAACAGAAATGAAAAACGTTGGCCCTATTTAAAACCTGCGAAAATCCCAACTGAGAAAACCTAAAAATTGCCAAACTGGGTCACATCCAGCAGCTCAAAGAAGATGCGTCTTTGCTTTATCAAGTCCTACCGGGCTGCCCGAAATAGCAGCGCATCCTGGCACCTTCCAAATGCGGTCTGATTCGCTGGTGCGGTGCGCGCGGCAGGCGCAGCCAGGATTTAGAAGGGCGGAGCGCTTGTCTTCAGCACGGCTGGTGTGACCTTTTAGCATTGAAAAGGTCCCCAGGAGGTGGTTTCTAAACCACCTCTCTTTCTAAAGAGAGGGTTTGTGACAAAGAGAAAAGGTGCGGGTCGCAGAGAGCTGTGTGGCTAGCTAAGTTTGCGAAGCACTTAGCCAAAAAAGGAGAAATAAAAGAGGGGCCTAGGAGTTAGGAACAGATGGGGGTGGGAGGAACAAAAGAGCCCATTTGCAACTCTGGGGAGCCAGAGCACTTGGCAAAACCATCAGGCCCAAGCTGCTATTTGTTTCTAGCTAGAAACCATAAAAGCCACTGATTGCCCAGGTAGTGGGAAGCCCCGTGGCCTTCCATTAAGCCCTGAGAAATGCGAACAGCTTGCCCAGGGTACAGCCCACACCCCACCTCCACTTCCCCAGCTCTCCAGAGTCTCAATGGGATTTTACTGTGGGGAAACGGTACAGCTGCTTGTGAGGTTGGCTCGGAAAATGACTGCTCCCCACATTTGAAAGCTCCGCTGCTCCCCCTTGTCTGGTGAGACAGCTCCTGCAGCTTTGATGTTAAGCCCTTGGCAAAGTCCGTGCTGCCCACAGCTGATTTCTAGAGGCTTCGAAGAGTACAAAGACTCGCCCCATGCAGGCACTTAGCTTAAGGAGTTCTGCTCCCCCAGGCCCCGCCTTTGCTTTTCCATTTCTCTCTGCAGGGGAACTCGTTCTTTGTGATGACAAACTTCCTCAAGTCAGAAGGCCAAGAACAGAAGCTTTGTCCCGAGGTGAGTAGGGGACCCTCTCTGAGTGGTCAAGGGGGAGATGCATTCTGGGAAAGAGCTCTTTGCTTGCCCCAGTCTAAGGGCCTGTGTGAATACCCGCTCTTGCCTTCACAGGCTTTCTGTGCAGCTCACAGTATGGTTCCTGGCTTGTGTGTGATTTATTTCACATTTCACTGGAGCCTCCATGGGGTGCTGCCAGCCTGGGGGGCACCACAGGACCCTCTGGAGGGGAGTTTAGCTTATACTGCAGTCTGGCCTGGGTCATTACACTTGGCCTTGTGCCTCCCCTCTTTGCAGGTCAATACCCCCAGTATCTCTGGTCACCTCAGTAAATGCGACTTAGCCCTAGTGTACACCTGATTATGTGTGGATTGTTCCAGCTCTTTTTTTTTTTTTTTTTTTTTTTTTTTAATTTTCGAGACAGGGTTTCTCCGTAGCTTTTTGGTTCCTGTCCTGGAACTAGCTCTTCTAGACCAGGCTGGCCTCGAACTCACAGAGATCCGCCTGCCTCAGCCTCCTGAGTGCTGGGATTAAAGGCGTGCGCCACCACCGCTGTTCCAACTCTTTAAACGCCCCGTGCACCCGAGGGACTTCACACAGCTTGGTTTTGTCTTGCAGTTCCGTGGTGGGCTGAGCCCAGCTGGGTGGTTGATTTGCCTTGTTTTTTTTTCAGAGCTGTGGCTGCAAAGCAGCTGCCATTAGCATGTTAGCATCATTTGGAGGCTCAGTGCTGGGCACCTCTTCACTTCCAGGGACTCTCAAGAGTTTTTCTCTTTTTGGGGTCTTCCCGCATGCCTCCTCCAAAAGAGCGGCCAATGTTCCAAACTGCATTCAGAGACCCTAGAGCGAAGAAAGCAGACATGAATGAGCCAGCACTTGGGAGGCAGAGGCGGGTGGGTCTCTGTGAGTTGGAGGCCAGCCTGGTCTATATGGAGTGAGTTCCAGGACAGCCAGGGCTACACAGAGAAACCCTGTCTCAAAAACAAACAAACTAAACTAAACAAATGCCCGGGTGACAAGGAGCAGAGGCCCTGCCCGCCTGTGTTTGTTCTGTCTTCTTAAGACTCACCATTCGTCCTGCTACATGAAGTCAAACACCCAAACCAGTCCTCTCTTCTCTCTTCCCTTATTCTGTCCTTCAGCCCCAGACACAGCTGACCCATTTCTCCAGGCAAGAGTGTGCTGGCATGTCCTCTCTTCCCACATGGCCTGCTATACCTTGCTATCTGTCAGCTTCTGGGTCCTGTGGTGGCAGGGCCACCTGCTCTCTACCCCAAAAGCCGTCCCCGAGAGTGCCTCCTGGCTGTCTTGACGTCTGCTGTTCACATTTCTATTCAGTCTTGTTTTTGAGATAAAATCCATACACTCTAAAACCAATGGCTTCCAAATACACAGTTTGGTGATTTTTATTTTGCAACATCATGCAGACCGTCATCATAATCACCTAATTCCAGAACATTTCCTACCCCCTCCCCGGAAACTTTGACACCCAAAACAAATTGTCCCCATTAGTGACTAATCTCTCTCTCCCCACAGCCATGGACAACCAGTCTGCCTTCCCTCTCTGGGGATTCGTCTATCTAGGACATCCCTATACATAGAACCGTACCGGACACGGCCTCTTGTGTCTGGCGCCTTTCACACTGTTTTGAAGTTGGTCCATGACGTAGCATGTGTCAGGACCTGGCAGACCAAGGCTCCACATATGGGGGCTGGGAAAACGAGTCAGTCATTAAAGTGCTTGCCATTCACGCATGAGGATCCGAGTTTGATCCCCCGCATACACACTGAAGCTGTGAGCACCTGTGGTCCTAGTCCTGAGGAGGCGGATGGGTGGATTCCCTATCCACCTTGATGCTTGACCTGCCAGCCCAGCCAAATAGGGGAGCTACAGTCTTAGTGGGAGGCCTGTCTCAAAAAACAAAACGGAAGGTGACAGAAAAAGATACCTGACATTGATCTTTGGCATACACACATGCGCACACGCACGCACGCACACACGTGCACACACTCCACATATGAACGAACCACCTTTTCTTTGTCCTGTTCCACACTGATGGATTTGGTCTGTTTTCGCTTCCTGGCACCCGGATGCCGCAGTGACCACTGGTGCGCAGGTATCTTGTGGTATCTTGGCGATGCAATGCTCATTCTCTGCTCCCCTGCCCTTCCTCCCGCAGTTTCCCACCAGCCCCAGCGCAAAATGTAAATCCGACAGGGACTGTATAAAGGGATGGAAGGACCCGCAAAGTAAAGGTACTCTTCTGTGTCTTACTCTGGACTGCTAAGGGGGGGGGGGGTGGACTGGCGTCTTTGTGCCATTCATGATGTCCAGTTTCGAGTCCTTAGCCTCTGGCAGTTGCCTTTCACAGGTCACCACCAAATCACAGGTCAGCAGACCAGCAGAAGCCTGTAAGCGTGACTTGAATATCCCAAGTGAGAAATGTGGATTCAGGGTCTAATTGTTGGGACTTCCCCAAAGGCAGGGAATTTGAACTTCCAAGGACCTGGGAGTTTAACTTTCTCTTTTACTTGTCCTTCTTTTCCTCCCTCCTTTTTGCTTTTTTTTTTCTTCTTTTCTTTCTTGATACTGGAGAGCAAACCCAGGCCTTGTTGCAGGCTGGGTAAGCACTCTACCATTGAGCTACAGTCCCAACCTTGCAAAGATACATTGCCTCAAATTTTCATTTTAAAAGACATAAGACTCGGGTCTGGTAGGGCAGGTCTTTAATCCCAGCACTCATGGGGCAGAGGTGGATCTCTATGAGTTCGAGGCCAGACTTGTCTACATAGCAAGTTCCAGGTCAGCCAGAGCTTAAAAAGAGAGACCCTGTCTCAAAACAAGGAAGAGTCATCAGTGGTCACAGTGTCCACACTCACACTCGGGAAAGCAGCTGAGGGCTGGTCACAGAGTGCACACTCACACTCGGGAAAGCAGCTGAGGGCTGGTCACAGAGTGCACACTCACACTCGGGAAAGCAGCAGAGTGTTGGTTCCACTGTATAACATGTGTATGCGAGTTGCCATGGAGATCATTGTAAGGTGGCTTGCCCTTGATCAGGTCTCTTTCTGACACTTCATAAAGATGTTCCCAAGTTCATCATGTGGCTGTACGCATCCCCAGGTGAGCCGTGTGCCCCCGGAGGCACCCAGATGCCACATGAAAAGCCATACTTTAGTTCATGTAGAGTATCCATTGAATGCAGAACTCTCCTCTCGGGCATCTCTCCCTCAAAACAAAACAAAAGGGCAGGCAGACTCCAGCCCCCTTTGCTGTCTTTGGGCCTCTCTAAGGATTTATTGTCAAGCGTTCTGTTTGACGTGAAGGGCATGTGTGATGAGGGTGGGGTTCACAGAAGAGGGAGCTGCTTGGGCTTCAGAGTGTAGTGTCTCTGCGTGGACTTAGTACACGGTACCTCCTAGAGATATTTCTCTTCCGGGTCATTCACATCTGTGGTTCTTCAACCCCTTAAAACTTGTAGGAATCCAGACTGGCAAGTGTGTACAGTACGATAAGAACCGGAAGACCTGTGAGATCTTTGCCTGGTGTCCTGCTGAGGAGGGGAAAGAGGCCCCCCGGTGAGTTCCATGGTGGGGGGCACAAACAGTGGCCTTGGCAGTGCCAGGCGTGGCCTTTCCAGGGCTGCTGGGCTTCTCCGGAAGTCCCGGCTTGGAGACCTCTCCGCCATCTCTGGGGAGGCTATGCCAGCCTTGATATGTTATAGTTGGCCTGAGCCAGCTGGCATGTAGCCGTGACCTGGAACACCCTTAGGTCACCCTGCCATCACGGCTGCTCGGAAACCCTCCCCAAGAGCCACAGCAGGGTTTGCTCTGATCCATCCGTGCTCATAGGAAATGACAAAGAATATGAAGAAGCCGAGCTGGGGAGGTGGCTCAGGCGTAAAGTGTCTGTCCCACAAGACTGAGGACCAACACAAATAGCAGGTGTAGCAACAGACACGGTAGTCCCAGCTGAGGAGGCAGAGTCGGGGTGCGGGCCAGCTAGTCTAGCCAAATTGGTGAGCTCTGGGCTCAGCGAGAGACTCTGCTTCAAAGTGTAAGGTGGAGAGTGCTACCAACTGCTACCCTCCACACATGAGCAGTCTGAGGGCTGAGCACCTATATACCCATGCATATAACAGAGCGGGGGAGGGGAAGGGGGAGAGAGAGAGAGAGAGACAGAGACAGAGACAGCCTGCTCCTAGAAGTCAGTGGTTCTAGACCATCTCTGTCCAATAGAACTTCCTTTAGTGATGGGAATGTTTGGTACCCGTGGTGTCCAACATGGTAGCCACCAGCTACCTGTGGTGACTGAACACATAAAATAAGAAATGGAATTTTAATTGAAAATACATTTGCTGGGTGGAGGCTGTAGCACGTGCCTTTAATCCTAGCATTCAAGAGGCAAAGGCAGGTAGGTTTCTATGAGTTTGAGAGTTCGAGGCCAGCCTGGTCTACAGAGTAAGTTTGAGGACAGCCAGGGCTACACAAAGAAACCCTGTGTTGAAAACCCAAAAATGAATAAATAAATAAATGTATGTTTCTATTTTATACTTATTTGCGTTTATATTTGTTTGCCCATATATGTGGGTGCTTGTGAGCTGTCACGTGCATCAGGACCTCAGAGGACAGCTTGCAGAAACTGGTTCTTTTTTTCCACCATGTGGGTCCCATCAGGCTTAGCGGCAAGCACCTTTACGCCCTGAGCGACCTCACTGGCCCTAATTTTAATCTCAATGTCCATTTCACTTTAAGACTTCCCAGACCAAGCAGCCTCAGGAGCACTCTGTATGTGGGACAGAGAGAAGGCTGGCCAAGCCGACTCAGGCCAAGGTCCATCCTGCCTTCCACTGCCAGGGTGCAGGCAGGAGGAAGTACCGCCCTTCGGCCTTCGGTTGTCAGAGCAGTTTCACTTCTAGGTCGGGAAGTTTCTGTGTGCAGAAGGTACTATGCTGTGGGTGAGACCCTGGACTCCACCACAGCACCGCTTGGATTCACACAGGAGTTTGTGGTTGTCACTTTCAGCTCTGCCACCAACTCATTCACCAGATGAACACCGTGTGTCTCCACATGCCGGTCCCGAGCTTCATTTTTCATTCTTTCTGCTGTTTTTATTGCCATTGTCTTTGAGACATGGTTTTACTTTGTAGCTTTGGCTAGCCTCGAACTCTCTAAGTAGACCAGGCTAGCCTCAAGCCCATAGAGATCTGCCTGCCTCTGGTTCCTGCATGCTGGGTTTCAAGGTGTGCGTCACAATACCTGCTGACAATACCTGCGGTCACTTTTATTTTTCTTACTTTTTGAGGCAAGGTCTCACTGTGGAGTTGAAGCTGGCTGCATCTTGTAATCCTCCTGCCTCAGCCTCCTGAGTTCTAGGATTACAGGCATAAAGCACATTTTGACACAATTGGACAAACCGTCTCCTCTCGTGGTATGTGAACCAGGCGAGATGGTTCATTCAACACAGCCACCAAGAAGTTGGCGCTCTTCAGTCACTTCCCTTGTGTGTCACTTCATACGACATAAAATCTAAAACAGGTGGCCAGACAGGGAGTGGCTCCCCAGCCTCTTGCTCTGCGCCAGAAGAGACGAGCCATGCAGAGAAAGCTGTAATTCAAAATAAAAAGCTACAAATGTCAGGTGAGAGGATCCTGCAGCCTCTGACTCTTAGACTTCATTTACTTATTTTTTATATACGCACATATATTTTTAAAACTTACTCTGACACTTTCATACATACTGTATATATAATGTATTTTGATTATATCTAACTCAGATTTCCTCTCCCACTCTCCCAGGGTCCCTTCCTCAAATACTTTCTTCTTCAACCTTCATGGTCCCCCAAACCCTTTTTTAAAATTAAGTATGGTATTTTTAAAAAATACCACCGATGGCTTTTCTCCCCCAGTGGCCTGACTAGCGCTTTCAAGCACTAGAAGGCAAGGAAGAAAGCCCCAGCCCCAGCTTGATTCCCTCATGTCCTTCAAGTGTGTTATGACTTCAGAAATACAGTCTTATCAACGCTGTGTGATAAGAACCAAGAGCAATAGTAATAGCTTATTTTGAGGACCCCACCCCCGCACTTTCCCATAGGGAAGTATCCCACATCTGGTACTGAGATTTTCATTTAAATTTTTATTTAATAACTCATGTCTTCTAATGGAGGCACTGTCTACCCAAAGCATGAAGTTTAAAATCTCTCTCTCTCTCTCTCTTTTTTTTTTTGTTTTGTTTCTCAAGACAGGGTTCTCTGTGTAGCCCAGATTGTCCTGGAACTTGCTCTGTAGACAGGGTTTTACTTTGTAGCTTTGGCTAGCCTCAAACTCTCTTAGGTACACCAGGCTGACCTCGAACTCACAGAGATCCACCTGCCTCTGCCTCCCGAGTGCTGAGATTGAAGGTGTGTGCCACCACCACTTGGCATTTGTTTTCGTTTTTTAACCTTCAGCCTGTCTCCATCTTTCATAGAGTACCAATTGCTGGTGGTCTTGTTCATCACTGTATCCCAGGGCCCTGCTCCCTGTCCAGAACCATAATTATTTGCTAATGAGTAGCTGGCAGGCTGGTGGGTGGGTGGCCTTCTTGTGGCCTGGAATTTTGGTTCCTCTAATTTAGTGTAGAACTAACGGCTACCCAGCACCTCTGGTGAATGAATGATATCCATAACTCTGTGTGTGGTCCTGTGATAAAGGCTGGGCATGCCTAAATAAATTGCCATTCAGCCTTGCAGGGACTTCAGGCCGATCCAGGAAACCTCAAACATGGCTGCTCAAGAGCCGACTGGCGCTGACTAAAGGCCAGTCGTGCTCATTCGGTCTGCTTCAAGTTTACTGGTGGATGGGGGCTCGACACCAGCCACGGTGGAGCATTTACAGCATGGTAATCAGCTAGTGCCACGTGTCTTGTCAGATGGTAACATGTCACCACACAACAGCGGACATACAATTGTGTCAGTGTTGGACGTGACGCCGTAATTGCCATGGGGGTCTCAAGGAGGGTGAAGGCTTCTGGGGGAAGCTACAGGTTTTACGGAGAATTTTGCTGTATTCATTTCTCTTCACTCGAAAGCACAAAACCATACCCTCTGGTCCCATGGACTCTTTGTTCTTCTCTCTCAGGCCTGCACTCTTGGGAAGCGCTGAAAACTTCACTGTACTCATCAAGAACAATATTGACTTCCCCGGCCACAACTATACGACGTAAGCATCACAAACGCCTGGCGGTATGCATCAGTTATCTAGGCCGTGGAACAATAGATCCCAAACCTAGGGAGCCTAGAAATTACAAGAGTTTTATCCCTCTCACATCTGTGGATCGGGAATCCGGCAGTGTCTCTGCTGGGTGGTTCTGGTTCATGGTCTTTCCAAAGCTGTCAGTCAGAGCTTCTGTTGGCTCTAGGTTTGCTCAGGGCTGAGTCCTTTCCCAGCCTTACCCATGTGACTGAGGCAGTAAGGCTAAGTTCCTCACCATGGTCATCAAGGACTGTGGGAGTATCCTTAGGACATGGTGGCTGCATCACCAGAGCAAGTCGTCTGCACAGTGGATGAGCAAGGGTAACTGAAATGGAAGCCACAGTCTTGGAAGTGATACCCAACCAATTCTGCAATATGCTGTTGGTCACAAAGATTGTTCATGACACAATGTAAGAGGACATTCTACAAGGGTCCGCAGGGGACAGGGGAGCTGCCACACGGCTCATATTGATGAGCAATGCACCTGTTGGTAGTAGATCAATGTCAAGTTCAACAGTGTCCCATTGGGAGCTTGACACCAGCAGTGATTTACACCACGGTAATCTGCAAGCACTACTTAGCAGGCATTGGTCTTCTCTTTAGAGAGATGGTTGTTAAAACATCTGTTTCTTTGCCATTCTGCACAGGAAAAACATTTTTCCAGATCTAAAGATCCCTTGTACCTTTCACAAGACTCAGAACCCTCAGTGTCCCATTTTCCGACTAGGGGACATCTTCCACGAAGCGGGAGAGAACTTCTCAGAGGTAGCAGTTCAGGTTGGTGGAGCATTTATACGGGTGTCAAGGGGTCGAGGTTGTCAAATGACAAATAGCAGTGTCCGGTGGGAGAGGCCGACAGTCTGGCTCCTAAAGTCACGGTTCACTTTATTTGTATGTGGTAAACCATACCCAGTGCTTCGGGGAATCCCAGGGTCCTGAGAGAGCTACTTGGTGTGTTTCTCCTGTGGCTGCAGGAACAAATCACCACTGATGTGCCAACTTAAAAGACCATACATTTGCTTCTGTGCCTGGAGCAGGAGTCCAGTGTCAGAGCTGAAGGTGGTGTCAACAGCAGGTGCAGGGAAGGATGCATGCTTGCATTTCTACCTTCCCCACTGGTGCTTCTTGTGTTCACTTATTGGTTGATGGTCCCTTCCTCCACTTATTTTTTTTTTTTTTGTTTCGAGATAGGGTTCTCTGTGTAGCCCTGGCTGTCCTGGAACTTGCTCTGTAGACCAGGCTGGCCTCGAACTCAGAGATGTGCCTGCCTCTGCCTCCCAAATGCTGGGATTAAAGACGTGCACTACCACTGCCCCGTTGCACTGAAACCTTCTAATGAGTATTTCCCCACAGAGAGAAACTCTTCCTCGAGAAGCTATTACTGAGTGGGAGACTGTCTGATGGCGGCATAACCCCTAACAGGCTTCGTGACTCTTCTTGTTGCTTTTCCCCCAAGGGAGGAATCATGGGCATTGAGATCTACTGGGACTGTAACTTGGACAGCTGGTCCCATCGCTGTCGTCCCAAATACAGCTTCCGCCGCCTGGATGACAAGTATACCAATAAGTCCTTGATCCCTGGCTACAACTTCAGGTAACAGTACCACATGTGCCCATGGGCAGAACGAGCAAATAGAAAAGACAAGGTAGCTGCTATATACCAATAGCGGCACACTGGCAAAAACGTAAGTAAATAAAACAACATTGCTAGCCATTAGGGAAATACACATTAAAACCACAATAAGATAAATCTGTGGGCCAAAGAAGATGGCTCATTGGGGAAGTGTGCTTGCTGCTAAGCACAGAGACCTGGGTTTGATCCTCAGAACACACACAGTGGAGAGACAGAACTGGCTCTCACAAGCTGTCCTCTGACTTACACATGTAGGCCATGTGTATGTGTGTACACATGCACGCACGCACACACACACAATAAATAATGTTAAAATTGAAAAAAGAGAGAATGGCTAAAATTTTATAAGACGGATGGAGAGATGGCTCAGCAGTTAAGAGCACTGGCTGCTCTTTGAGAAGACCCGGTTTTGATTCCCAAAACCCAACATAGTGGCTCACAACCATCCATATACCCAACTCTAAGAGATAGATCTAATAGCCTTTTCTGACCTTTGTGGGCACAGGTTTGCACACAGCACCACACATACACACACACACACACACATGTATTTATATATAGTTAAAACACTCTAAATATAAAATAAAGATAGATCCTTTTAAAAAAACATAATGCAGGGCTGGAGAGATGGCTCAGAGGTTAAGAGCATTGCCTGCTCTTCCAAAGGTCCTGAGTTCAATTCCCAGCAACCACATGGTGGCTCACAACTATCTGTAATGGGGTCTGGTGCCCTCTTCTGGCCTGCAGGCATACACACAGACAGAATATTGTATACATAATAAATAAATAAATGTTTAAAAAAATAAAAATAAAAGCAAAAAACAGAAACTTAAAAAAAAACATAATGCAAAAGAATTCTCCTGGGGCCCCTCCCTCTCTCAGGAATTCTCTCATTTTTCCTTAATGAATCTAAGTAAATAAAAATTTTAAAAATCAAGCAAAAGAAACTTTGTACACAAATATTCATAGTAGTCTTGCTTATAGCAGCAAAAAACAAAAAACAAAACCAAAAACCCTGAGAAGCCAAATGTCAAGCACAGAGGAATGGCCACCCTGCAGGGTATGTGTGCAGTGGAGAGCTACTCACTACGAATAAGAAAGGAACCAAGTATCGATACACGGGATACCTGGGAGAGTTACAGGTGTCATCTACAGACATTAGGTTGAAAGGTTGACCTAAATGGCATGTGCCATGTGACATGACACCATTTGGATAACGTTCAATAGGCAAAACGTGGGCTGTTGGAAGGGCTCAGTGTGAAGGGTGTGTGCTGCTGTGCCCAGTGGCTGAGCTCAAGCCCCAGAATCCAGATGACGGAAGGGGAAACCACTTCCAAATCCATTACCAGACATGGTGGTGCATGCCTTTAATCCCAGCACACAGAATCAGAGGCAGGTGGATCTCTGTGAGTTTGAGGACAGCCTGGTGCATCAACAAGTCCCAAGCTAGTCAGAGCCACTTAGAGAAACCTTGCCTCCAAACAAACAAACCATTGAACAGAACCCTTAAGACTCATGCATTGTGAGATACATAAATGATATCTCAAAGGAGCACACAGGTAAATCTAAGTAGAGCATTTCGAATGGGGGTAAAGTGCTCTGGAAAAATCGAGCAAGTTACTGTGATGGGAAGATGTGGCCTGGGAAGCCTTTTCAAGCAGGAGGTAGGGACCCTACAGGCATGGCTCCCCTTTCTAGTTAAGAGGGAGGACAGGAGCCTGGGCTCTGAGAAGAAACTTGGGAAATAAACTCACATCTGTGAGTCCCTTTCCCATGCAGTCTAGACTAGCAATTCTCAAAATGCAGCACTCAGCACCAGCATCTCACAGTGACTCAAAATGCACATTCTCGGGCCCGGCCTAGACCTCCCGATTCAGACTGGACAGCAGTGACCTGTGGTCCGCGTTTTCACAAGTCTCCGTGGCACTCTGCTGTGCACTCGAACCCGAACACTGCCAACACAGATGCCTATCCTCAGAGCTCCCTTCTGGAACCCGCCTGGGTGCTGGGCATAGTGCAGAGCTTCGCAGAGCCTCCTCACCCCAACTTAGCAAACACCCACACTGGAACAAGGTCCCCTGGAGACTTTTATTTATTTATCAATTATTATTAGCATATTAATATCATATATTAATTATATAGCATACTATATATTGATATTTATTATTATATTATCCATTTAGTTCTTTGTACCTGTAGAATATTTTAAACCCTGTGATATTCTACACAAACATCTGGCTTCCTCTTTTTCCTGAAAAGTTGAAGCATTTAACACAGAGTTTAAAAACTTTAAATAACACTGGGCCCATATGCCGTGTGGCAGCATTGGCTGGAGCTGGGGAGAGCGTGTACGTGGCTTTGGCGGTGTCACTGCCCTTGCCACTTCTTTATGTCCTTCAATGTGACCTTCGTCTTTTCTGCCTGGCCCCTGTGGAGATCCGGGTTGGAGAGCCTTGATTCAGCATCAAACTGGCTGATGCTTTTTGCCTGCTCTGGGTCAGCGGCGTTTCATCCCGGGCTCAGGAAGAGGCTCTCGGTGCAGGTCACTGTTTGATCACCCTCGCCGGATAGGACGAGGTTCTGAAGAGGCCGTGGCCATTGGCAAGAAAGAGAGGACGCAATGAATGGTCCCCCGACTGTCCTGGGCATTTTTATTTAGCAGTCGGCCAAAGCACGCAGGATAATCAGACATTGGCCAATGTCCTCCTGTTCTCTGAGCTGAACCTGAGAACATCCGCCCCTGGTGGGATCGAGCTCTCTAGAGGCCTGAAGGGTTATGACGTCAGTATTCTTTTAGAATAGAGTGTTAGCATATTTGTTGTTGAATGAGTACCAGGAGAACTCTTTGGCCAAAAATAAATTGTGGAGCTCTGATAGGCAAGAGAACAAGTTATTTTCAAACAACATCACAAAAGAGAAGGAAATTACAGGCTATATGAGGAATTTGGGAAAATATAGCTTTCTTTTTTACAGGAAGTTAAAGAGTTCACATTATATAACTTTGTCCTCAAGAAAAAAGATTTATGGGGGCTGAAGCAATGGCTCAGTCAGTAAAAAGCTTGCTGTGCAGGCAAGAGGACATAAGCTCAGCTCGCAGGCACCACAGCCAGGCCTTGTGGTGTTTGCCTCGAATCCCAGTGCTGGGCATGCAGAGACAGGAGGATGCCTGGCTTGCTGGGTAGGCAGTCCAGCCAAGCCAGTGAGCAGCAGGTTCAGGGAGAGACCATGCCTGACCAAATAAAATAGGGAGCGGTGGAGAGAGATTCCTGATACAGCCCCCTGGTCTACACACACACATGCACACGCACATGCACAGCACGCACACTCAATAAAGAGGACACACAGAAGATCCTCCTCTGGTAAGCCTAGCCCTAATCCTCACTGATTTATATGTGTGATACTGGGGTATAAGATGTATTTCTCAGGCCAGGCAGTGGTGGCGCCCGCCTTTAATCCCAGCACTTGGGAGGCAGAGGCAGGTGGATCTCTGTGAGTTCAAGGCCAGCCTGGTCTAAAGAGCTAGTTCCAGGACAGGCTCCAAAGCTACAAAGAAATCCTGTCTAGGAAAAAAAACAAAACAAACAAACAAACAAAAACATTTCTCAGGTCCAGAGCAAGTATGAATAAGGATTAGTTTCCTGTGGCTACTGAAACAGATTGCCACAAACAGCTTAAGGCCCGAGGGGAGTCAGAGGGCCTTGCCCTCTCTGAAGGCTTAGGGAGGGGTCTTCTCTTGCTTCTCCCGCTCTGTCAGCTCCAGGAATCGCTCACCTTACAGCTGGACCACTCCAATCTCTGCTTTCGTCCCTGAGTGGTTTCTCTATGGTCTTCGAGTCTCATTTCCATCCTTTAGTTTATAGGGATGCTGCTAAGCAGGGGTGCAGGATTGCCCAGAAGCAGGGGAAGCTCTTCGTGACATTTGCAAAACCGTGTTTCCAAATAAGATCAAATTCACGGTGACAGCCTGGGGTCAGGGGCTTGGACCTATCTTCTCGGGGTCCACTATTGAATCCATTCGGTGCAGAAAAGCATCCTTGTCTAGTGTTCCTCCCTGACTCACACCTGCCTGTACTGACACAGACTCCTAGAGCTTCTCAGACTTTCTGAAACCCATCTTTGGCATTCAGGCCCAGAGGCCCCCTTTTTGAATAGTCTCCCCACATGATCCTTGCCTCTGTGGTGATTTACAATGGCAAGAGCCCGGAAGAAGAAATCCAAGAACTTACAAAATTAATTTTCCCAGGAAGAACAACCACAAGCGTGGAGTGCTGACGCATGCTGGCTTGTGTGTTGGAAAGTGAGTCATTCCACAGAGCAAGAGGAGGGGCCGATCTGAATGAAACAATCAGATTCAAGACAAGGGGAACCCCTTGGCTAGAAGAAGGCACGGAAGTGCCTGAGATTGGCTGATTCAGTCTCAGGGGGTTCGGTTTTCTGTTTGGTTGGTTGGTTGGTTGGTTGGTTGGTTGGTTTGGCTCTTAACCACTGAGCTATCTCTCCAGCCCTTCTTTTGCTTTTTTGAGGCAGGTTTTGACTATACAGTCCAAGCTAGCCTTGAATTCCTTGTGGAGCCCAGGCTGTCCTTAAATTCAAAGCAATCCTCCTGCCTCAGTCTTCCAAGTGTGAAAATAATAGGTTTTGTTGGGTTCATGGGGGTCGTGCAAAGATGGGGACAGGCCACCAAGGTGTGGTAAAACAGAGGCAAACTTTGTTCCAGGAAAAAACATAAAAAAATAAATCTCCATGGGGCTCAAAAAGCTTATCAGCTAGCTGAGACCACAGCCAGAGATGGACTTGTAAGACTGTGGCAAAGGCCGGTTTTCAAACTCCTCCTTTTATAGCAAGCATTAGGCATGAACAAAGGAATTTTTTAAATCTCAAGGTAAAAATCAGATATAAATTGCACTTCTTTGCAATTTCCATTAGCAGAGTTTTTCAGTTAAGCTAGTGTTTGTATCTAGTCCATTGTTTTCCCTGGCATTCCTTGACAGTGTTTACCAAGGCTCTGCACCTCCCCTGGCACTGCAGGGGAGGGTATGGAAAATGCACAACCAAAAAGTCAAAAAGTCACGCACATCCCATCATTTAAAAGTTAACTCAGCCCACATCAGTTGCTGGTCATGAGTTCCCAGGGGTATCTAAAAGCTGATCCTCAGTTTGCTGAGTGACCCTAAGATTGCAGAGGCCGCTTCCGCCTCGCAAACAGAGCTCTGGGTTGTAAAGCGGAGTAGCCCACTGTTAACTGTTAATCCTTAAGCTGCTGACAGTCTGCTCTCTTCTCCTAGGTCTACAACTTTATATTTCTTATTTCTACATTCTTATTTCTGGAATCTACATTTCTTTATTCTTATTCTTGGACTCTTCAGTATGTACCACCATACCCTGCTAAACATGTAGTTTAAATCTTCCTGATTATTTATGAAAAGCAAAATATCACACACACACACACACACACACACACACACACACATTTTAACTTCTGTACCTGTTTGGGGTGGTTGTGATTTGTGACAGGTTAGCTCAAGGGGACTGACATGGAGAAGTCACTGTCACTGGACTTAAGTCTAATGCCCACAAATCCCAGAGGATGGGAGCAGACCACCCCACCCAGGGCTGCAAGAGAGAGCTGGTTTACTCAGAGACAGAGCAAGGGGAGGGGGAGGCAGGCTGGGGAGAGGGCTGAGAGCTGCTGGTTTGAACTCTGTCATCGGGCACTGGGCTACAAGAACTTCCATGAACTCTATGTCTGGCCCTGGTCCTACCCGCCTCTGTGTGCCTGAGGATAGAGAAATTCTGGCTGCTATGAGAATTAGATAGACAAGGCGATGGCAGGGTAGCCAGAACTGGCCTGAAGGTTTGGATGTGACCTTCATAGGCTCAAACAAGACGAGTTTCAGGCTGCTGACCTTTGGTTTGCCTGTGTGGCTAATGATTGGCGGAGAGACAAGCGTAGGAGCTAAGACAGCACAGTCACGACAGAGCCTTGAACTCTCCCCAGTAGGCAGCAGAGGGCTGAGGCTCACGCTTCTTCCCTGCGCGGCTCTAGAAGCCACGCCTGTTAGCACTCGGGAGGCAGAGGCAGGAGAATCTCTGAGTTCAAGGCTAGCCTGGTCTACAGCCAGGGCTACAGAGAAACCCAGTCTTAAAAAACCAGAACAGAGGGAGACAGGGTGGTAAAAGTCTGCCATGATGGCACACACCTTTAACACAGCAGTTGGAGGCAGGCAGATCTCTGAGCTGGCTTGGCTTGGTTTACATAACGAGTTCCAGGAAGCCGGGGCTACATAAAAAGAGACCATGTCTAAAAATAAAAAAAGAGAAATAAACACATTGCCTGAAATTACTCTTTAATGTTTCTTTGCTTATTGTTGATCTTATATTGCCTTAAAAGTTGGATGTTTTCATAGGAAACTAAAAGCCGATTTTTGTTCCTCTGTGATGGTAGAAGCAGGTGAGGTAACCTGAGGATGCTCTTTGGTTTCAATTGGTCAGAGAGTAATTCGAGGGCTGGACTGTACTCTCTCCTCTGCCAATTGTGCAGGCATCAAAAGCCGATGAGGAAGACTGGGTTGGCTGCTGGTTTGCTCTTTCTCCCCAGAAGATACCAGCACGTTCAGCGATACTGTTGTAAATGTGGCTGCTTTTCTCCCATAGATACGCCAAGTACTATAAGGAAAACAACGTGGAAAAACGGACACTGATCAAAGCCTTCGGGATCCGCTTTGACATCCTGGTTTTTGGCACGGTAAGTCTCTCCTTCCTGTGACTGTCTAATTGTGGATGCAGTGAGGCGTGAAAGCTAGCAGCCACAATCAGGAGTTGGCCCCGTGTAATTCACTTGTGGAATGACAAGAGGAAGAAGTGCATTTGGGTTTCTCCTGATGAACAAACCATCTGAAAAAAACATGGAATATGACTGAGGAAAAATTCAAATATCCAACCTTTGTTTGATTCTTTTTTGGGCCAGGCTTTTGCTACAAAGCCAGTTGGCCTTGAATTTTCAATCCTCCTGCCTTATCCTTCTAAATGCTGGGATTTTAGGTGTGCACCACTACACCTAGCTCTAATATTCAACGTTCAGATACTTTAATACTGAGCTAGGGAGATGGCTCAGAGGGTGAAGGGCAAGCATGAGGAACTCAGGGCAGATCCCCCCAGAACCCAGGGAAAAGGCTGGGCATGGCAGTGCGTGCGTGCCTGTAATCTCAATACTGAAGGTAGAGAGAGGAGGATTCCAGGGACTCGGGGCCAGCAGGTCCACTGAGACACTCGTCACAAAAGTAATCACGTGGAATGCAAAAGGATGCTCCAAAATCAACACCTTCTACACATTTGCATGGACCAGCACACTTGTACATACACATGCACACATCACAGACACCACACACGCACACGAAAATAAATAGGCAAAGAAAACCAACCAAATAAATAAACAACACCTGACACTGAGCTGGGGCGTAGCTCAGCTGGTAGAACGTGTGCCTAGGAGAGAGAAGACTGGCTCTGATCTCCAGCACGGGATTGATGCCGCATTGTAACCAAAGAATCAGTGAAATGCAAAGTTGGGTGTGGTGGGGCATGCTTTTAATCCCAGCACTTGTGAGCTTGTGGGCAGCATGGTCTACTCACCAAATTCCAGGCCAGGAAAGGCTACATAACTAAGACCCTGTCTCAGAAGGGACAAGAACTAATAAAATGTAACTGAGCGAATGGAAAGGCCACTGAGAGCGGACCTTGCAGAGACCAATAAGAACCCATATGAGTGTGGACATATCTACTCCCCAAGTTATCCCACACTATGGGAGAGTGTGTCTGAAACCCTCATCTCATGTGGAGGTTCTCCCCTTACTGACCACATCTCTCTAGAGCATTCTAGATGACAGAAAGGGGACACATGATGTCTTGTGGTCTCTGTGACAGTTGAGCACTCAGATGTGTGCCTCAGTGCCTTCACCGTCTTCTGCACCGACTGAAAGTTAACAAGAGAAGGCGCCAGGCGCCACTCTGAGTTCCACTGAGTAATGCTTCCTGCTCTGTTTCAGGGAGGAAAATTTGACATCATCCAGCTGGTCGTGTACATTGGATCCACACTGTCCTACTTTGGCTTGGTAAGAGATTCTCTTCCCCATCCTTAACGAAAGTGATTCAGGCTGGGCAGTGGTGTGCACAGCTTTAACCCCAGCACTTGGGAGACCGAAGCAGGGGGATCTCTGTGAGCTTGAGGCTAGCCTGGTCTACACGGTGAAAGCCAGTATTGAAACACTTGGAAATAGCAACAAAACGAAAGAAAGAAAGAAAGAGAGAGAGAGAGAGAGAGAGAGAGAGAGAGAGAGAGAGAGAGAGAAAGAAAGAAAGAAAGAAAGAAAGAAAGAAAGAAAGAAAGAAAGAAAGAAAGAAAGAAAGACAAAATGTTGATTTGGTGGGAGAGGTCTCACTGGCGCGGTGTTTGCGGTCCACAGGCCACTGTATTCATCGACTTGCTCATCAACACATACTCAAGTGCCTTCTGCAGGTCCGGCGTCTACCCCTGCTGTAAGTGCTGTGAATTCTGTGCGGTCAATGAGTACTACTACAGGAAGAAGTACGAGCTGGTCATGGAGCCGAAGGCGGTAAGGCATACTGCTCCTGTTAGACACCACACACACACACACACAGATTCCTCTAGGCGGCTAAAAACATAGACCATTCATCCCTAAGTGGGTAGGTTCCTTGGTAACCCCAAACAGCTGTCTCTCTGATGAGTTCTTTGGTTTTGAGAAAGAAAAAAAGCAAAAATGGAGAAAGCTAGAAATACAGGGAAGGTTAATTTTTATGTTCCGGCTTTTGTCATTTACTAAATTGGCACAGCCCCTTTCTGGCCCCATATAATACAATGGCTTCAGAGAATAAATCATTTGGCAGTGAAAATAATATTTAAATAGGAGTGTTTAATATCCTGGGTTTTCCATTTCTCTATACATTTCTAGAGAAACCTTTACACAAGATGCACATAGTACATGTGTTAGGACGGGTCACTAAATTTTGTTAAATTATTGATAATGTTTGTTAAATTAATAATCAAAAACTAGTTTAGGAATAGAGCATTTGCTCAGCATGTGTGAGGCCTGGGTTCGATCCCCAGTATTGCTAAATAAATGAATAACTAAGAGGAAGAACAACATCTACCCAAATGTCCACAGGATGAATGGTGAAAGACGCCATAGTAAACAATTCTCCTCACTCAGGTATTATTAGCAAGAAAGAAAATAAAGCCAGTATTGAAACACTTGGAAATAGCAACAAAACGAAAGAAAGAAAGAAAGAAAGAAAGAAAGAAAGAAAGAAAGAGAGAGAGAGAGAGTTGGCTACTTAAACACACCACTCTCTGAAAACATTGAGGTTATTAGTTCCATTGCACAGAAGGCTGAGGCAAGAAGAATAAGGGTTCCAGGTCAACCTGGAGACAAGAGCAAAAAACATACCTGGGAAATTAGATGTGGTGCCTCATGTCCTAGCGCTGAAGACGCTGAGGCAGGTGGATTGCCACGAGTTCAAGGTTAGTCTAGGCTAGAGTAAGACCTCGTCTCAAAAAAAAAAAAAAAAACAACAAAATAAAATAAAATAAAACACACACACTCATATGAACGGAGGAAGGGGGAGTTATACAGAATACATGGTCGAGCTGGGATTGCGCCTGAGGCTGCCCGGCCTCTGAATTTGTCACAACAGCTTAGGTAATGACATCAGCGAATATCCAAGATGCTTTGTCCACGAAGCGAATAAAAGATTCCCAGTTTATAGGCTAAAAAGACAACTGCACACGCAATCTCCGCCTGTACAGTCTCTACATGTGCATTTCATACATGCACATGTGTGTCCTGGACCCACACAAGAGTGCTGGTGGCAGTGGGTGCTGGTGACTTCTAGCCAAGAGCCTAAGGTGGGGGAGAAGCAGCACCTGTCCTGTTTCGATTTTTATTACTTTGGACTTTGTGAGTTGGGTCCACCCCACTCACTTGCCTGCTCCCCGGGAGAAACTGCTGGCTCCTTGAAAACAAGAAGGTTACTTATTTCCCCCCTGGGAGCATTGCCTGTTCTTTTCCAGCAGTCGAAAGCACAGTTCATTGTTTATTGTCCCTTGTCCTCGTGCTCATGATGGGAATAAAAGTCCAGCCAAGCTCAGCGTGGCGGCACTGGCCTGCAATCCCAGCAGTGGGTAGACTGAGGCAGCAGGATGGCGGGTTTGAGGCTAGTCCAGACTAGAGAATAAGACACTGCCTCAAAAAAGAAAATAAGGAGAGAAGAAAGGAGGGGGGAGGAGGGGAGTGAAGGAAGAGAGGAGGAAGAGAAGGAGGGAGGGAGAGAGGGAGGGAGGAAGAAAGGAGGGAAGGGAGGGAGGGAAGGAGGGAGGGAGGGAGGGAGGAAGGGAGAGTTTAGTTTACCTTTGTAATTAAAAACTCCACATGGCCCCACCCATATGAGTGAAATTTAACAAACACATAAACAATTTAAGGGCAACACCACAGCCCCCAGCGTCTATGGACACTGAACTCAGGAGAGCCCAGCACAGGCCACTACACTGTGCTGGGGCCTCGCTGGACTGCGGCCAGGACGGCTCTCCAGTTAGGGCACGTGGGGTTCCGTGTCTGACTCTCCTTCAGGTCTCCTTAGCTTGCTTGTCATGTGGTCGGTGTGGTGAGCAGATGAGGTCACATATGTTAGCACCAGTGATTCCTGTAACTGCACAGGGCAGACTTTTACCCTTCTTTTCCTAGACGTTAAAGTATGTGTCCTTTGTGGACGAGCCCCACATTCGCATGGTGGACCAGCAGCTGCTCGGGAAGAGTCTGCAAGTCGTCAAAGGCCAAGAAGTTCCAGTAAGTGAAAACATTTCGTCTTTTTTTAGGAGATTTTTCTCTTAAATATAAACACTTGTAGATAGTTATATAAATCACAGTTGATGAATTTTAACGAAGTGAACATACTCACGGAACCAGCACCCAGATTGAAAAATTAGTTGTCTGGGAGCTGATGAGAGGGTAAAATGGCTCAGAGGGTGAATGACCTGAGTCATGGGGAAGGAAAGGACCAGTTCAGGCACGTTAGTCTCTGATCTCCTGTGGTACATGTGTGCAGGCATACACACATGCACACACACGCAGGCATGCGCAAGCATGCATACACACAAAAATAAATAATAAAATGATTTAATATAACATGTTTTGGACTAGGAATATAGCTAGCTCGTAGTAGAGTTTTGGGGTTTTGTTTGTTTTGGTTATTTGTTTTTTGAGTCAGGGTTTCTCTGTTGTAGCCTTGGCTATCCTGGAACTCACTCTGTAGATCAGGCTGGCCTCGAACTCACAGAGATCTGCCTGCCTCCACCTCCCGAGTGCTGGGATTTAGCAGAATTTTTTTTAAGTAAATCTTTTTTTTTAAGATTTATTTATTTATTATGTATACAGTGTTCTGTCTGTATGCCTGCAGGCCATATGAGGGCACCAGTCTCATTACAGATGGCTGTGAGCCACTATGTGGTCGCTGGGAGTTGAACTCAGGACCTCTGGAAGAGCAGTCAGTGCTCTTAACCTCTGAGCCATCTCTCCAGCCGGATTTAGCAGTATTTATCCAGAGGAGGAGAGACTGAATATTCCAGAAGTCCCTTTTATGCCTCTCCTGAATTGCCATCTTCCCTTGTAAACAGTCCCTCATCCTACATCTAAAGATTAGATTTCAGGTTTTCGTTATTGTTCATTTGAGGCAAAGTCTCACTATGCAGCCTTGGATGGATTGGAACTCATAGAGGTCTACTTGCTTCCGAATCCTGAGGGCAAGGCTGGGATTAAAGGTGTGCCACAACACCCAGTTTAAGGATTGGTTTTTATTGATTCTAGACTTTTATAAAAGTCCAACTGTACAAGCAAGGTACAGCTGTCTACACCTGTAGTTCCAGCACTCGAGAGGTTACAGGGAAAACACTAGGACCCAGGAGTTCAGACCAGGCTGGGAAACCCAATGAGACCCTATTGCTAAAGAAAATTGAGTTGTATAGTAAAGACTCCGAGTGGACACAGTCTGTTGAAAGTCTGACTCCTGTCACTCAGACTTTTAGTGACTTATCTGACATTGCATATGGTGATAGTTCATTCTCATTTTTGTATAATTTCTGCTTCATAAACATTACTTTTATCTACCGAAGGTCATTTGGGAAGTTCCTAGTGTGGGGGCAAATGCCAATCATGCCATGATGGCAAACATCTGTTGGGTGATTGTCTGAGTCACGGCCAGCATATGTTTCGGTGTTAGAAGATACCAAGAATCAAAGGGCTGTAAGCGTTTGTGTTCCCCACGGTTCCGGTCACTGGACATCTTTGCCAGCTGTATTGATTTCTGTGGCCACAAGCAGTGACCGCAAACCGGGTGGTTAAACAGCCGGTTTGCACTGCAGTCTGGAAGCCAATGGGCTGAGGTTAAGGTGTTAGCAGGGCTCTGGTTCCCCCTGGAGGCTTCGGGGAAGAACCCTCGGGCCAGCCAGCAGCCGCAGCCCTGGCTAGGCCACCAGTGTGGGAAACACAGGCTTCTACCTCATCTCCCGTCTCAGCAGCCAGCTTGTCTAATTCATTCTCTGCCACAGATTTTTGGTAAATGTTTTAACAATGTGGTTATTAGATTCAAGAAAATTCCCTTTTGTGCTTAGCTTGTTTTTTTTTTAATCATAAATGGATGTAGAATTTTAAAATATTTTTTCTTCTTCTTTTGAAATAATTTGTGAGGTATATTTTTCCTGCTATGTGGTGAATTTCAATGATTGATCTAAGTTGGGGGATCCTGGACCTTGAATATCTGGGCAGATGTGGTACTATTGAGAACTACACCCCATGTGACTTCATGACAAAGTCTTGGTGAGCTGCCAGGGAGAATCCTCGACTTTCTAAGCTGCTGGAACTTACTAGTTACCAAGGCTAGGTGTTGTTGTCATTATTGCTGTTTTTACTTTTTTACGTTTGCAGGATCCACCACCCAGCTCTCAAATAAATACACACACAGAAGCTTATTCTTTCTTATGAATGCCTGGCTTTAGTTTGGCTTGTTTCTTGCCAGCTTTTCTTAACTTAAATTATCCCACTCCCCTTTGCCTCTGAACTTTTATCTTTATTTCTGGAGCCCTTTCTATACTTTACTCCGTGACTTGCTGTGTAGCTGGTGGCTGGCGCCTGAGGTTTTCCTCTCTTCCTCTTTCTCTTGCTCCTCGATTTCCCTTCCCAGATTTCTCCTCCTATTTATTCTCTCTGCCTGCCAGCCTTGCCTCTCCTTTTTCCTGCCTCACTATTGGCCCTTCATCTCTTTATTAGACCAATCAGGTGTTTTAGGCAGGCAAAGTAGCACAGCTTCACAGAGTTAAACAAATGCAACATACAAGAATGCAACACATCTTTGCACCATCAAACAAGTGTTCCACAGCATAAACAAATGCAATACTTCTTCAACTAACATTCCCCCACAGCTAGGAATGTGTGTAGGCATGTGTGCATGCTTGTTTGTGTGGATGCATGTGTGTGCAAGTGTCTATGGACTCTAGAAGTTGAAACTACTTGTCTTCCCCAATAACTCTCCGCCATTACTGTTTCAAGACAGTGTCTCTTACTGAACCTGAAGCTCCCTAATTCTGCTGGCCTGGTTGGCCAGGGAGCTCCAGGGAGCCTCCTGTCTCTATGTCCTAGGCACTGGGACTTGAGGTGCACCCAGGGCGGCTTTTTTTTTTTTTTTTTTTTTTTTTTTTTTTTTTTTTTTGGTTTTTCAAGACAGGGTTTCTCTGTAGCTTTGGTTCCTGTCCTGGAACTAGCTCTTGTAGACCAGGCTGGCCTCGAACTCCCAGAGATCCACCTGCCTCTGCCTCCCGAGTGCTGGGATTAAAGGCGTGTGCCACCACCACCCGGCTCCAGGGCGGCTTCTTACGTGATCCCTGGGGACCTAACACAGGTCCTTATGCATGCGTGACAGGCACTCTACCCACCGAGCCAGCTCCTTTTCTTACCACTTTCCATTTTAATATGATGTGCTAGTCTTCGTATTTATTCATAGATTTGGTTAATATTTAGAATTTTTATATCTCATCTTGGGAGGAACTGACCAAAATTCTCATTTCTTATAATGTCCTTGAGGAATTTGGGTAGAAAGTGAACTGTTTGGCTGAGTGTGGTGGTAAATCCACCACAGCGTTTGTGAGGTACAGGCAGGAATATCAGGAGTTCAAGGCCAGCCTTAGATAGTGTGTTTGGGGTCAACTTGGGCTACAAGATACTCTGTCTCAAAAAAAAAAAACTATTTAGTATTTGAGGCGCTACACGTTTGCCACTTGATGGGACATAATTCAGGGATGTTCTGTATGCTCCAATGCCACCAACTCCAGAACTCTTGCATCTTCTCAGAAAGAAACCCCACTCCATCATGTAGCCCCATCCCAATTTCGGCTGCTCCTGCTAACTACTCGCCTACTTCTGGTTGGTCTGTCTGTTCTATATATTTGCATAAGGTGGGTCACACGCTGTGAGATCCTGTGTCACACTTCTTTCAGTTTGCATGGTGCTTTCAAGGCTCATCCATGTGATTGTTTGCCACTCCTTCAGTCGGGTTGTGGCTCAATAACATTCCTGGACAGACAGACTGCCTGCCTAGGTCACCTTTTGTTTTTCTACCCATTAGTTGGTGGATCCTGGGGGTTGTTTTGGCCTTTCATAAATAGTGCTCCTGCGACCATTCACGTATTCGAACTATGCGGTTTGAATGACTTGACTCAGGTCTCCACCCAGAATAAAGGCGCATGCCACATAGACTAGGCATGACAATTCCGGCAACTTTAGGAGCTAACGAATGGGTATGGCAGAGTCTGGCAGGCATGGTAATAGTAGGAATGAGTCAACAGATACCATCTGCTGTGTACTGGGCACTGCCACAGGCCCTGCAGTATGTAACAAGTAAACATCCTTCCTACTTTCCCTTGGAAGACAACAGTCACCAAAGAAACATATTAACTAGCGAGATCTGTTTCGAAGGGGGAGGCTGTCCACTGTCTGGAAGTGATGGAAGCACCCAGGAGGAGACACACCCTCCAAAGGCAGCCAGGGCAAGGGGCCAGGTCCCAGTTGATACCTGGCTTTTCTGAATTTCCTTTTCCAGACATATAAAGTGGAGACAAGCGTTTGTCTTACTAGAGGTTCGTAACATACTAAGGGCAGAAGCAGCTGTCTAGCCCTGATACAGTTAAAGAAGTGATAGCTCCTCCAGTCTCTGTAATATGAAATGTGATTACATAGGTTGATACCGCTTTCGAACCTAAAACCCAAGGGATTGCTGTTGTTGAAGGATCTGGAACCTTGACTTTTGCAGAGGCTTCAGGCGGATATCATGAACCTGTCTCGGCTGTCCCTCTCTCTCCACGACTCACCTCCCATTCCTGGACAACCTGAGGAAGTGCAGCTCCTGTGTAGAGAGGTGACCCCCGGGCCCAAGGACAGCCCAGGCTGGTGCCAGTGTGGAAGCTGCCTCCCGTCAAGGCTCCCAGAGAATCGCAGGGCCCTGGAGGAGTTATGCTGCCGGAGGAAGCCAGGACCCTGCATCACCACCTCAGAGCTCTTCCGGAAGCTCGTGCTGTCCAGACAGGCCCTGCAGCTCCTCCTGCTCTACCAGGAGCCCTTGCTGGTGCTGGAGGAAGAGGCCACCAACCGCCGCCTACGACACTGTGCGTACAGGTGCTATGCCATCTGGCGCTTCGGCTCCCAGGACATGGCGGACTTTGCCATCCTGCCCAGTTGCTGCCGCTGGCGGATCCGGAAGGAGTTCCCCAAGACTGAGGGGCAGTACAGTGGCTTCAAGCATCCCTACTGACATGGCTGTCACACTATGGTGGCTCAGAGCAGCTTCTCTTTGCAGACCGAGAGCCACATTTTCAGATAAAGGGAACTCAGGTTTCCTCCCGTGTAAGCTCTTTGTGTGTTGAAGACCCCGATTAGATCAACCTGCAAGCGCACAAGCCCTCTCCACAGGGATGAGAACCTGGACCTGAGGCTGGAGTCTGAGCCTGGGCTTTAAAGTCTACATAGGCTTCTCATTTCCCAGCCTGCTTTCCCTGAACTAGCCTGAGACCAGATTGAGACGATATAGGTGGATGTCTTGTAAAAGTTTACATAGCTCCATGGATGCAAAGGTCTAACCCTAAAAACAAACCCTTTGGGATTTGAGAATGCCCTGAGAGATAAAAGATGGGCACCAATTCTCTGTCATCCCCTTCCCCAAACCAAACCAACCCTCAAGACCCAAAGACATTGTTTTCCCCTCCCCATTACAGGCAGCTCTGGGCTCCACCCAGTAGTGGGTGTGTCCTTACATCTATTCTAGGACCTTGTTTTAAGAGGCTAACATCTTCCACTTCCTGTCCTTGGACCTCTTGCTGAGGGGAAGCCAGCCCAAGTGGAGAGTGCACAGCCGCCTCTGCCATAGGGAAACCCGAGCTGCCTCTGCAGCTCACCTCCTCTAAGCCCGGCCTCCACACATGGAGAGAAGCTCCCTTCAGGTGATTCCAGACCCTGCTAATGTAGGACTGAAACTGCAGGGGACAGGCTAAGCGCCAACTGCGCAGTCAACCCAGAGGAGCACCTTTCCGTCTTAAGTCATTACGTTTGAGGGGAGGGGGTTGGCACACAGCAATGGGTGACTGGGACACGAGGGGGACATTGAGGCCTGGAGTCACCGCAAAATGCTCTCTTGGGCAGTTGTAAGAGGATTCATTAACTCAATTTAGAAGCCATCAAATCTAACTTATACAAGGTATAGTCTGATCCTCATTGCTATCCGAGGGTTCCAAGTGACTATTGTCAGAGACTGGTAGAAGCCACCTCTGTGTCTTTGACATCCTGGACTCGAGTGTGGAGGCTGTCTGAACACTCCTTTCAAAGGCAGCCCAGACGGCCAGGGGCAGAGTGATTCCAGTGCGAGGCAGGAAGGCTGAGTTCCAGGTCAGCCTGGGCCTCATGGCAAGACCATGCCTTTTTTTATTTTATTTTAAAGATTTATTTTTATGTTCGCGTGTTTTCCTGCACCGTGTACGTGCCTGATGTCTGCGGTGAGTAGAGCGTGTCAGACCCCCTGGAACTAGAATGGCAGGCGGTTGTGAGCCACCAGGTGGATGCTGGGAACTAAACTTGTGTCCCCTGCAATAGCGGCCAGGGCTCCTAACCTCTGAGCCAACTCTCCAGCTTCAAAACTACGTCGTTAAAAACATAAAATAATCGGAATCATTAAAAAGAGGGGGGAGAGGAGCTAGAGGGTAAAAGTATTATTTTCTGCGCAAACAGGAGGACAGCATCCACAGAAAGAGCTGGCTCAGAGGGGGAAGAACTTGCCACCCGATCTGATGGCCTGAGTTCAACCCCTGGAACCTGTGGGGGCAAAGGAGAACCAACTTCTAAAGGTTGTTCTCTGACCTCCACACGTGCTGCACACACACACACACGTACTAATAATAAAATAAATTTAATTTTTGAAGAAAGTCAGTCCCCTTTGCTGTCTTCTACCCTTGCTGAGCATATGCGAGGACAGTCACGGGTTTGGGGTCCTGCCTTGTGCAGGACAGAGACTGTGAGGATGGTCTGAGACCTTCACGGCTACTCCAAGACTAACCAGTGGGAGACTTTTAAAAGCTAGACGCAATAAATGTAAGTTGAAGGGGTGGGGCTGAGACGGCTTAATAATGACGGTGCTTGCTGACAGCCGCAGGGCCCGCCTGAGCCACACTGTGGATGGAGAGAACCGACTCCCACAAGCTGCCTCTGACTTCCACATGCGAACACTGGCACATGACCATCCCCTAAAACATGATGTAACTTTTGAAAACAGAGACTTCTCCTGTAGTGCTTTAAAACAGCACAGAGGAAACCTATTTTTTGACCCCAGAGTTTTATCTGGCTTTAATTAAACTCAGGAATCGTACCAGCTGCACTAGCTTTGGTTTTCATCTCTCCTGCCTTTTTGGAGATATGTTTAAGAAGTGGGCTGTAGGGCTGGGAGGAGGCGGAAACTTTTTTTTCTTATTCTCAATAAAAAAAAAATTAAAAAAAAAAAGAAGTGGGCTGTTTTTGACTTCAGAGTTGAACTTTTTAGTCTAAGGATACTACAGGCATTTGGTTCTGTGGCCTCAGCCTTTGTCCCGATGCCTCGTTCCTAGTGTCCTCACGGCACCTTGTGGAGGCCTCAGATAGTCACTAATCTCTGGGCCTTCCCAGTGTTTTCTCCTGCTTTGGTCGCTGGTGCTCTGGTGAGGGGGACTCTCTACTTTGTGTATAAAATGACACTTGCTGAAGCTGGGCCCATGTGTGTATCTTACTGCACAGGTAATGCCATGGTCTGGGGCCCATTTTGCAGGATCCAGTTCCTTGCTGTTAGATGCATTCGGTTCTGTCCACTACCCAGTACTCATGCCTTCTTCCGGCAGAAGGGAGAGATGCTTCTTGACACAGATGGCCGACTTCATGCAAAACCTGAGATGGATCTGTTTCTCTCTTTCAAGGGAGCCATCTTCTAAGCCTTTCCTAATTTCAGGTTGGCAATGTAAGTTTTCCTAACTGTTTTAGTAATAAAAATTGATTTAAATTCATTTATTTAAGTCTTCTCTTTGATTTCTTTTCTTTTTTCCAGAAGAGTCCTGAGTCTCAATGATTTCATTTATTTTTCCTAGTAGATGAGGCTGCTCCTCCCGAGGATAGACAGACAGACAGACACATAGAGATACAGATAGATATCGATATAAATATAGATAGTGGTCAATGATTTGAGCACTGGGAACTTGCAACCTGTGGTTGCAGAAGGCAAGCGATGCTCTGAGGTCATAAATGGGAAAATCTGACCTATGTGGGGAAATCGAGAGTTCTACCTGAGAAAGGAACAGTTTAGCTAAACTATGCAGAGGAGCACAGAGTGGAGCAGGGTAGAGCATTCCAAGTTGTGCTGAGCAGCATGTGACCTGCATGGGGGAGGGGGGGCATGATATGATGCTATGGGACCACGACATTTTTCACAGACAGCAAGCCGTTCTGTTAAAATCAGCCATGAAGGGTTGTAAGCAAGAGCCTGATAAGATCACATTTACATTTAAAAGCTCACTCTGAGCATGGTGGCACACATCTTCCAGTACTTAGAGACAGAGACAGGCAGATCTCTGAGTCTGAGGCCAGCCTGGTCTGTATAGAAAATTCCAGAGCAGCCAGGGGAATATAATGAGACCCTATCTACACACACACGCACACATAAAAATGAAAAGCCATTCTGAAGCTGAGGCTAGACCTCACTGGTAAACTTTGGGGCCCCAGGTTTAAGACTTAGTACTGAAAGAAAAAAAAATTACTACATAAAATTTAATTCCCAGCAACCACATGGTAGCTCACAACCATCTACAGGGAGATTTGGTGCCCTCTTCTGGCATGCAGGCAGAACACTGAACATAATAAATAATCTTTAGAAAAGATTTGATTGATTTTTTTTGATCTTTGTTTGTTTGTTTGATCTTACTATGTAGCTCTGACTGTCCTGGAACTCTGACCTCACAGAGATCCATTTGCTTCTGCTTTTCTGCCTCCTAAGTGCTAGGATTAAAGTTGTGCACTGCCATGCCCAACAAGAAATATTCTGGAAGTATTTTCAGATTCTTCTCTCTCTTTCTGTCAGTGGCACCAGGTGGTTTATGAGTCAGACCATGTGATCCCAGAGTTCTCAGTGATGTCTCCTCCCCCAGAGACTTTCCTTTCTCAGCTAGCCATTGTTGGGTTAGCTGAACTGCAGCCTGTAAGTCATTCTAATCAATCCGATATGTACAGGTAGATAGATGGGGAGATAGATAGATAGACAAACAGACAGACAGACAGACAGACAGACAGACAGATAGTTCCCATATGTATATCAGATAGATAGATCCCATATGTACGATAGATAGATAGATAGATAGATAGATAGATAGATAGATGATAGATCCCATAAGTACATTAGATAGACATATAGATCCCATATGTACATTAGATAGAAGATAGATAGATAGATAGATAGATAGATAGATAGATAGATAGACAGACAGACAGACAGACAGACAGGAGAGAGTCATTCTGTAAGTTCTGTTACTATAGAGAATCCACCAAAACAACATTGAATACACATTTGGGTAGATAAAGAATAGCCCAGCTCTTCACTGGAATATGAATGTATCATGGAGAAGGACAAACTCAATCACTGAGAGATTTCAGAAAAGGTTAGCAGATTCTTGTATCCACAAATCTAACAAAGGCTCTCATTTAAGTTTTCTGATACCGATTTGTTTTGTGTAGGTCAACGAAATTGTGCTGAACAAACATTCTATGCCTGAGCTACATCCTTAGCCCTTGGTTTTTGTTTTTCTGTGTGTGCTCATGTGGCACATATACACACGCAGGTGCTCATGGAGCCCAGAGGACTGATGCTGAACGTGCTGCGTGCTGTGTTATCACTCTCCACTGTATCCCTTGAGACAGGGTATCTCAGGGAGCCTAAGACCTTGTTGGCCTTGAACTCACAGAGACCCGCCTACCTCTGCCTCCTGAGTGCTGGGATTAAAGGTGTGCATCACCACTGCCCAGCTCTTCTTTTTAATATTTTTTTGACCTGCAAGTTTCTGAGCCATCTCTCCAGTCCCCAGTCCTTAGGTTTGTTTTTTTTGTTGTTGTTGTTGTTTTTTTAAAAGACTTACTTATTTTTATTTTATGTGCATTGATGTTTTGCCCACATGTTTGTGTGAGGATGCCACATTCTTTGGAATTGGAGTTACAGACAGTTGTGAGCTGCCATGTGTGTATGGGAATTAAACCCAGGTCCTCTGCAAGGGCAGCAGCCAGTGCTCTTGATTGCTGAGCCATCTCTCCAGTCCAAGTCCTTAGTTTTTTAAGACAAGGTGTTGCTATGTAGCCCAGGCTAGCCTTGAGCTCTAGCTCCTCAGGAATCCAGCTCCTGAATGCTGAAATTGCAGATGTGTGCCATCATGACCTGTTGTGTGACAAATAATTCTGGGAATCTAATACTTGGATTTAATAGTTCCCTAAAGAAAGGAAAGCAGAGTTGTCCTATGAGTCATCAGTTCTGCTAGGCACACACCCTCGGGCTGAAGCAACGAATCCAATAAAAACAACCGGATCCAGGAGGTTTGGGGGAAGGGAAAGAATCTGATCTAATATATTGTATAAAGTTCTCAAAGAATAAATAAAAAATTAAAGTAAAAACAACCTAGCAGGGCTATAGTGGTACACACCTTTAATCTTAGCACTTGGAAGAGGCAGGCAGATCTCTGTGAATTCGAGACCAGCCTGGTCTACAGAGTAAGTTCCAAGACAGCCAGGGCTACACAGATAAAACCTGTCTTGGAGGAAAAACAAAACAAAAACCCTGAAGAAATGAGGGGATTTTCTTTCTGTTTTGAGACAGGAAACTCACTGTGTAGATCTGACTAGCCTCCAACTCACAGGATACTACTTCCTTCTCTTCTTTCTACCCTCTCCCTCTTGGTGTAGGAGGTCCTTCTGTTTATGTGTTGCTTTCATTGCTTAATGAATAAAGAAACTGCCTTGGCCTTTTGATAGTGCAAACTTGGGTAGGCGGGGAAAACAGAACTGAATGCTGGGAGGAAGAAAGCAGAATAAGAGAGATGCCATGGATCCGCCAGAGTCAGACGCTGGGAATTTTACCTGGTAAGCCACTGTCACGTGGCGATTCACAGATTAATAGAAATGGGTTAAATTAAGATGTAAGAATTAGCCAATAAGAAACTAGAGCTAATGGACTAAGTAGTGATTTAATTAATACAGTTTCCGTGTGGTTATTTCAAAGCTAAGCTAGCTGGGCAGCTGGGACGAACAAGCAGCCCCTCCTCGAAACACCCCCAGGCTTCCTTTTCTTTTCAGAATCTTGTTATCTTTCCTTCTGAGCCTCAATCCTGGCCTTGGCTCTACTTATATACTATGCATATTGCGTATTAACATATTTCATTTGAAAATGGTCTACTAGAAACTATCCCTTGGTCAGGAAGCCAGGAAAAGGGGAGAATCAGACATTTTAGGAATGACAGAGCAGGTACTTACAGAGGTGGGATAGACCAGACGTGGGGAAGGTATCAACCTTACTCTTGGCTTTGTTGGTGTGGGACTGCGGGCTGGACCTTGCCTGAGGTACTGGTTTGGTCTTCATCCAGCAGTTCCTCAGACAGAGCACTAAGGGCAAAGTCCAGAGTTCAGTTCCCTGAACGTGAGCCAGGCTGGTAGGCAGGTGAGCAGATGTGCCCTGAACCCACCCACAAAGTCCAGGACTCCTGCGTGTTACATGGAGTAGTTACATGGAGTCGCTCAGGTTCACCTAGACTGGCTACTGTATCCCTGTAAGAGCAAAGTGGCTGTATAACCCAACATAATGGAGTCACATCTTGGTGAGTGTAAAGCCAAAATAACACAGTCAGAGCATGAAAGATGGGAGGGTGTGTTGCCTGCAGCAGGCAAGGAGACCAGGGTTATTTCCAAAGTGATAAATAACCTTGTGGAACAAAGAAAACATGAGGTCAATACACATCACACAGGGCTGGGCCTATTTCTAGGCATGCTCCCTTAAGGAGTCTGTTCCTGAGCATGCCGAGTTAAGGAGTCCATTCTTGAAGACGCTCAGTTTAAGGTCATGATTTAAAAAAAAAAAAAAAAAAAAAAAAAGACAGTAGAAGGACTTTTGGGTGCATTTACTTCAGTGTCATGGAGAACCCGTGTAAAAGATCAAAGTGATGGGCAGAAGTGCCTCTGGCTGAGCGTGTGCGCATGTGAGCACAAGCATGGAGTTGTTTGTTTCATTTTATATGTATCAGTGTTTTGCCTGCATGTGTGTTTGTGTGTACGTGTGTGTACGTGTGTGCATGTGTGTGCGTGTGTGTATTGTGCACATGGTGCCACCAGAGGTCAGAAAGGGTCACATGCCCTGGTGCTAGGGTTACCGATGGTTGTAAACCGCCATGTGGGTGTTGGGAACTGAACCCAGAATTTTGCTATTCTGCAAAAATAGCAAGTGTTCTTAACCATTTAGCCATCTCTCCAGCCTTGTTTTTGTTTTTGCTGCGTTTGTTTTCCTTTACATTTTTTTTAAATGTATGTGGGTATTTGCCTTGCATGTATACCTTGTGCTCCATGTGTGTGCCTGGTGCCTGTGGAAGCAGAACATGCATCCAGAAGTGAGCAGGACTGGATTTCCTGGAACTGGAATTCCAGCCACTTGACAGCTCCCATGGGGTGCTGGGAACCAAACCTGGGTTCTCTCAAGAGCAGCCAGCTCTTTTAACTACCGAGCCATCTCTCCACCCCTTGGTGATTTGCCTGTTTCCTGACATTTTTATTTTACTGTGTGTGTGTGTGTGTGTGTGTGTGTGTGTGTGTGTGTGTGACTGGGTGCACATGTATGTTGTAATATGAGCAGCGGGCTACATTCCTGGCACCTGGACGCCTGCACGGCTAGCTTTATACCCAAAATAATTACACGGAAACTGTATTCATTTAAACACTGCTTGGCCCATTAGTTCCAGCCTCTTATTGACTAGCCCTTACATATTGATCTAACCCATTTCTAATAATCTGTGTAGTCCACAAGGTAACTTACCAGGGAAGATCTTAACCTGCATCTGTCTGGAGTGGGAGAATCATGGCGACTCGGCTTCTTTCTCCCAGCATTCTGTTCTGCTTACTCTGTCTATCTAATTTTCTGTCCTATTAAAGGGCTAGGGCAGTTTCTTTATTTAACCAATGAAATCAACACAAAACAGAAGACTCCCACATCACGTGTACCATGGTGTACACACGTGTGAAGGTCGGAGGACAACACTCTGAGTCAGCTCTCTCTTTCCACCATGTTGGTTCTGGAAGCAGAACTCGGTCCCCAGACCTGGTGACAAGTGCCTGTATCCATTGATCCCTCACTCTGGCTCTGCCAGAAAGTTTTAGGTGGAACTAAGGAAAGGCTATCTGAAGGAGCATTAACACCAGAGGCTGCCTGTGAAGGCACCGGCCTGGCGTGCTTGCTTGGCAGGTTGGGAAAACTGCTGCACCTATGGTCACAGTGGGTTAGTACTGTGTGTTACCAGGTGACAACTTCTGAATGTTGTCATCAGAAAAGGCCTGGGATAGGCTGTCCTGGAAATGAACGTGGCCCCTCGGCGAATGCAGGAAGCAGAAGCGGCTCCCTCACAGAAACAGAGCCGCCCGCAGAAATGAAGCAGGAAAGGGTGAAATTAGAGCAAGCAGGGCATTTTAGAAGAAGGGGGAATCCTTTTTGGGAAACTGACTTGAACTAACTCGGATCTGCAAAAACCTACATTTACAAAATAAATACCTGGCTGGGTAAGTGGGTTCTGTTTTACAACGGCGTTCACGAGACGGATTCCTTTCAATAGCATCTGGAGAAAACTGTGAACACCTTCTCTTTGTCCTTAGAGACAAGGTCTTGCCATCTAACCCAGGCTGGACTAGAACCTGCTATGTGGCCCAGACTGGTCTGGAGCTCATAAAACTCCAAAGACCGGGCGGGGGGGGGGGGGCTATCCATCCAGAGCTCTGCTCTGAACTACAGAAACCTGTCTAGAATTCATCTTAGTTTTCCTATTTGCAAAAGGAAGAGACTGGACCAAACAGAACCTCTTGGGCCCTTTTAATCTCAAAATGTTCTCTCCGTTGTATAAAATGGATTTGATTTATGCTTGACGTTAAGCATACACAAGGTGCTTAGCGCGGCACCTGGTAAACTGTCAAGAATCTGCTGTGCTGGCGAAAGTCCACACTGTGGCTTCCAAGGCCCCACCTGCTCTGGCCACTGATGACCCCTCAGAGCCTGAGCACCACCGCTTCCTTCCTAGCCCACTGTGCTCAGTTCATTCTCTCTCTGTTCCTGGAACACAGCAAGCTCATCCCTGCTCACGACCTTCATCCTTGCTGTTCTCTTTGCCTAAATGTCACCCCCCCCACACACACACACAAACACACGCAAGATTATCAGAATAAATGACTCAAACATGCTTCTTCCGAGATAGCAGATACACAGAGAATGCAGAACCCTGCCAGGAATGTACTTTCTCTTCTAGGACGTACAGGGAGCATTTATAAAAATAGGCTGTCACGCATCAGGCCATGTACATCACAGTGTTCAATATAGCACAGGACAGGTTCTTCAAGTACATTTCAATGAAACTAAAAATAAATTTTCAAAAGACATATTTCAAAAAATAGTTGGGGCCTCTATAAGTTATTGCTAAATGATTCCTGGAAAAAAAAATAGAGTCAAAGATAATGAAAACACTACAAGTCAAAACAGGTAGACACAACTAAAGAGATCCTTCAAACAGAAAGAAGCCCACAGCTCTAAATAATTCATCCGGGAACTAGAAAGATGGGGGGAAAATAAGTTAAACATTCAACTTAACACACTGGAGAATAATAGAACCAACTATAAGAAATAAAAGGGAGGGCCTGGAGAGATGGCTCAGAGGTTAAGAGCATTGCCTGCTCTTCCAAAGGTCCTGAGTTCAATTCCCAGCAAACACATGGTGGCTCACAAACATCTATCTGTAATGAGGTCTGCTGCCCTCTTCTGGCCTGCAGACATACACACAAACAGAATATTGTATACATAATAAATAAATAAATAAATATTTTTAAAAAAAGAAATAAAAGGGAAATACTAGGGTAGAAATCAGTGAAATGAAAATTTGAGAAAACAAAACTAAAAGCTGGTCATATAAAAAGATTATTAATATAGAGATGTGTCTACGGAAAAACAACAACATCACAGAAGATCTTTAAAGTATCAAGACTGCTCCAAACACGGCTATGAACCGGAGCACTTCCCCGGCTGCATCTGACTTCTCTGCATTGTCCGCTCTCTGCATCTAGGCACTGGAGTAAAAGCCCACAAAGGCAAGGACTTTTGTTTCCTTGGTCCCAGAGACAGCGAGCTCTTCCTAAAGGAGATGTTTCTGTTTGTTTCTGGCAGCTCCGTCCAGCTGGAAGAGACCATGGATCCTGGGAAAGGTCAAGGGATCAGGGCCTGTCAATGGCTCTTTGTTACCAAACCTTGATTATTGCTTGGAGTCACTCAGAGAACTCCGAATGCCTGGCTAGGAGAGCGCCAACTGCACATATCACGTCAGAAAAGCAAAGCAGAGAAATAGGAGGTTTCTGAACCTTTTAAACACTGAATTACCGTATAATCCAGTAAATGTGTGTCTAGGCAGATACTGAAGTGAGCGGAAAGCAGACTGAAGGGACCCTTCCCGATGTGTTCACAGCGGCGTGACCTGATGGAGGAAGGTAATTGGTTAATTATAATAAACCAACTGCTTGGCCTCATAGCTTAGAACATAGGTGGGTGGAATAAACAGAATAGAATTCTGGGCAGAAGAGGAAGTGAGGTCAGACTCTGCTCTGCTTCCAGAGGGACCGAACAGCTCTGCTCTCTGGAGCAGAGACACCATGATAGACGGAGGCTAGAATCTTCCCGGTAAGCGCACCTTGGGGTGCTTACACAGATGATTAGAAATGGGCTAAATTAATATGTGAGAATTAGCCTAGAAGAGGCTAGATAGAAATGGGTCAAGCAGTTAAATGAATACAGTTTGTGTGTTGTTATTTCGGGCATGAGCTAGCCAAGCGGCCGGGGTGTTGGGGACGCAGCCCCGCCGCTCTTATTTCAACAGTGACCCACAGGGAAAAGAGGCCAATGTCTATCGGCGAATCCACGAACGAACGTGTGATGTAGCCCCACCCAACGCAGCTACAGCCAGGGAAAGGGCAGAGGATTGATTAATGCTGAACTGTGATGAATCTCAGAACACAGTGTTGAAAGAAACCACAAACACGAAATGTCACATTATGTCACATACCATGGGTCTGTGTGGAGGAAAAATACAGAATAGGTGAATCCATAGAAACAAAGAGAAAGCAGACTGGGGGCTGCCAGAACCCAGGGGACAGGAAGATGGGGGCTGCTTCACGGGAATGAAGATTCTGCATAGGATAATGAGGTTTAGCATGCTGGTACACACTGGTCATCTCAGGACTCAGGAAGAGGCTAAAGCTGGAGGCCTTAGCCTCAAGGCCAGCCTGAGACACCTAGGGAGACCTTGGCTCAAACAATGGGTAGATAGACTATTTCAATATTTACACTCTGAGGACTGGATGGTAGGAAAACACTTGTCTTTGCTTCCCATTATCAGACCGTTTGTTCCTATAAGAGCAGAATTTTGAATATACAATAAAAACACTACAGTTTATGACATAAAAGAACCTGGCATCTGCGGTGTTTCAGGCAGCTGTTCGTGGGTACCATGTGGTGCAAGGGCATGCCTAGAACCAGGGCTTCCGTGATGCTGTGCCACACAGCACGCTTGAGAGCTGCTAGAGACAGCGCGGATCCACCATGGGTTTCTTTTGAATTTGAGTTGGTGCGTGTTCAGAAACCTTTTACTGTTGACATTTTTTTCAACCCCCCTCCCCACTGAGTTCTGCAATCCCTGTAGAATGATGACCCACAGTTTAAGAAGCCAGGATCTGGAACCTAAGTTCTCCTAAGTCCGTTCATTGGATTGTTGATTCAAGTGTTTGAAAGGTCCTAGTTGTTTTGAAAAAAAGTTTCCGATCAAGGATCACTTTATCCCATTTCACCAATAGAAAATCTAAAGGTCACAACTACTAACAGAATTCTCACATATAAAGTATTGGCGCTCTTTTGTTCTGTCCCAGTCCCAGTCAGAATGACAAAGTGAGCAGTGAGATGCTGACAGCAAGCCTCTCTTGTATCACCGACACTCGGGCTTTGGCTGTTTACGTGGTGGTGCCACCACTGACCCCGTAAGGCTAGATGCCAGAGCTCATGCTAAAGAGACCTGGGACCACTTGACCTCCAGAAGCTGAGGACAAAATCTTTAAAATCAACTGGCAATCTGAGTCAAAAGGAAGCTGAGGCTGACTGTGTTCTGCTCTCAGAGACAAGAGACAGAGAGATCTCGGGAGGGGCCGTGAGGAGATAAGCAAGTCTAACTAGTAATCCTCTTGACAGAAAAGAGGCACTTTCCCATGCACAACTCAAGTCCAAATGGATCAAAGACCTCAACATAAAGCCAGCCACACTGAGCCTTACAGAAGAGAAAGTGGGAAGTACACTTGAATGCATTGGCACAGGGAACCACTTCCTAAATAGAACCCCAGTAGCACAGACACTGAAAGAAACAATTAATAAATGGGACCTCCTGAAACTGAAAAGCTTCTGTAAAGTAAAGGACACGGTCAACAAGACAAAACGACAGCCTACAGAATGGGAAAAGATCTTCACTAACCCCACATCAGACAGAGGTCTGATCGCCAAAATATACAGAGATCTCAAGAAATTGGACACCAAAAGATAACAAAATCCAATTTAAAAAATGGAGTACAAACCTAAACAGAGAACTCTCAACAGAGAATCCTAAAATGGCTGAAGACACTTAAGGAAATGTTCAACATCCCTAGTCATCAGAGAAATGCAAATCAAAACAACTCTGAGAGTCCATCTTACACTTGTAAAAATGGCCAAGATCAAAAACACTGATGACAACTTATGCTGGAGAGGTTGTGGGGAAAAGGGAACACTTCTGCATTGCTGGTAGGAATGCAAGCTGGTACAACCCCTTTGGA